ATAGTTAAGTGCCCACCCCTTGAGGATATAACCACCGCTGCCCAACATGCGGCTGCGGGCAGAGAACCGTCCGCGCGGCGGGCCGGCGCCGCCGCTGCTGCTGCTGCTGCTGTCGCTGCTGCTGGGAGTCGCAGCCTCTCAAGGTAAGGCGCGGCATGACCGCGAACTGGATCAGACGGAGCTCGGCGCGACGAGACCGGGTCGTCTGGAGGGCCTGACGTGGCCTGACCTGGCCGTCAGACGCACTCCGCCGGCTCCGTATGCTGCCCGTCAGCTCCTCCCTTCCCCTTTTACTTGTTTGACTCGATGCTGCTCGGTTCATGACGGCTGAATAAGGAGTAAAGTGCCCGAGCGTATGACTCGTATGACTCGCGCCCCGTCCAAGACAATTCTTTCGTTGAATGTAAGCGACAGTCATGGCGTGACATTTCGGCCGCTCCAATGTCTGACCTGCTGCCTCCATGCCCCGACCCCTATAGGTAGGCCACGCCCTGGCCGACCTCAGAGTCCAGCGCGGTGCTCTACATGGAGAAGCGTTTCCTTGATAGTTTCCTCCTCTCCTTCTGCTCGAGCCTGCGAAACTTCATCATTATTTCTCAGCTGAAGCGACCGTATCCTGGTGCGAGTGCCCGCTGAGGAGCCGCGCCGCCGGCGGGGCCGAGGCTCGCCTGCTCCGGTGCCCCGGTGCGAGTCGTGACCCACGAATTGGAGCCCCCCTCGCCTCGCAATGAGTGGCCCCCCAGACTGGGGACGCGATCTGAACTTTTCACTCGACTTGAAAAAAATAAAAATATCGAAGGGCGACTCGCCCTTGCCACTGCGAGCTTACTGAAAGTGGCGTCAATGTCAGTGACCTCAACTTGACAGAGTTCGCTATTAACATCCTCCACTGCAAAGAAAATGAAAGGGTGGAAAAATTGGTTTCTTTTACTCCAGGCCAAACTCTGTTCCTCGCCGTCAGAGCAGAATGGCACTCACCAGGAGGCTGATTCAAACACTTTTGTTGTAGTTATACTGTACCGCATGCAGACCGTGCGTGCGGGTCTGCCTACCGTCCCTGACCACGGCGTCTCGTGGCTCTCCAGCGAACAGGCAACCCGTCCGCACGCATGCATGCGGTACAGTATAACTACCCAAAACATAAAACAGGTAGGGTTAATTTCGTAAATTTACGCGTAAAACAGGCGAACATTTTTTTTGCCAGTGCCAAGTGCCATCGCAGAGGTGGGCACGGTGGTCCTTCCCCCGACATACGCGGAAATCTTGATAGCATTTTGTTTTTTCCACGACGGTGGTGGTGACGGACGGTGATTGGGGATGAGTTCATTGTGTGTGGCGCCCAACCCCACCGGAACTGTCACCGGGTCCGGGGAAGCCGAGGGGAGCGCCGCGCTCACGGGCCGGCCGGGCGGGTTGTAAACTACGCGCAGGAACGCTATGTGGGAGATGGATAATGGGCGTGTCCCCGCCCGTCCTCCTTGTCCTCCTGTCAGTAAAAAGGCAAAACTTTGTGGCGATGATGCGCGCCCATTGTTTTTGCTGCGCGTGTGGCATGCGGCGTAGTGCATAGTATGCGGACCGTAATCCTCCCGCCCCGCCACGCCCCGCCACGCCCCGCCA